GCACGAGATTAAATGGTCAATTTGTGCTCTCTTTCGACGTTGAATCACTTTTTACGAACGTTCCACTGATAGAGACGGATAATTTTATTTATGATTACTTAAACCATTGGAACATAGATGTGGGGTTTCCAGTGCAGAAACTGAAGTAATTAATCTTACAATGCATTTTCAACCGTTTCTTTTTGATGAAGTCTATTACAGACAGATTGACGGAGTCGCGATGGGGTCTCCCTTCGGATCCCTTCTGGCTGACATTTTCCTTGCTATGCTCGAAGATGGACCTATAAAACCCATCATCTCTTCATTTGATTTCTATTATCGATACATGGATGACACGTTTATAGTCTGTGATTCAAACACTGATGCTTCCAGCCTGTTGAACCGGTTAAACAGTGTACATCCATCTTTGAAGTTCACCAGTGAAATCGAGAATGAGGGTAAACTGGACTTCTTGGACGTTTTACTAAGGAGAAAAGAAGACGGTTCGCTAGAAAGAAGTGTGTTTCGGAAAACGAGGTATGTCGGTCAATACACGCATTTTCTCAGTTTTGTGCCCCTGAAGTACAAACGGAACGTTGTTCGTTACCTGTACTTTCGCGTTGCCAAAATTGGTAGCCCAGAGACATTGGAGGCAGAAAATAACCGTAGGTTCCAAACGCTGCAAGTAACCGGTTACCCAGCCCAATTCAATCGAAAGCACGCAGTGATTTATAATCGTCATAAATTGATTACAACTGTTCCCAAGAAATATGTGTTTCTATCAGTTCCCTTCAAGGGAGATATTACTTTCTAGTTGCTGAACAAGAGAGTTTCCGCTGCAGTGGCTCGAACGTTCCCAGCTGCATATCCACACATCATTGCCGGAACCGCGCCGTTTGTTGCCCAACATCTCAAAGACGGAATACCGGTGCAGTCCGAATCTTATATTCTATATCACTTTACTTGTACCTGTGGTGTGAGGTACATCGGACATACGACTAGGCGTCTGTCTAAACACATATCGGAGCACTGTCCCACGGCATTGCAGAAAGGTACTATCGATTGCAACAAGAGTTCTATCCTAGAACACCTGGTCGAAAGTGGACATCAAATTGTTTTCTGTTGTGCGAAAACGCTACCTCAAAGGGTTTAGGAAACGAATGTTACGGACGGTCGAAGCCATTGCGATCAGGCTTACACAACCTGAACAATGCAGAGGACGCTTATTCAAGCGCTCCTTCTGCCCTGGGGCTAACACACTTCCCAACAGCTTTCTCTCCACACGCTGACAAGCACCGGGTGATGGGTGCGTCACCCAACCAGTTGAAAACCATGTGCTATGTCTCGTGAGCATATGTGTGTGTCTATGTCTGCTTACGTTTGCTGTGGTAGGCGCTGCTTAAGTGGCTGGCTAGCCGAACAACCTCGTGTTGGTGCCAGCTGGGTGGTTCGGGTTTACCCCGTTCCAGCTAATAGTTAGACGGCAGTGTTCCAGGAAATGGTGGGTTTTCGCCTGACAAGCGTTCTCCCTATAAAGCCACAAATGTCTGCTTATCAACACTGGGACATGACGGATGTGACACACCATCATCATCATCATCAGCAGCAGCAACAGCAGTACATCAGGCATTTGAACTGAGGCTTCGCTGCCATACAACCATGAGGACCTATGAAATAAAGAATAAGAAGGATGTGACTCGCCAAACTAAAGTCACTGCCCCGTGGATATCTGGAAAGAGTTGTCCAATCAACGGACATCAATCGTTTATTCTCCCATTCCTGACAATTACAAACATTTAAAAATACTGCGGCACATTCACAAACACAAGCTGCACAGTTAGATTCATACACAATTGGTTAGCGGCATCCGGTCCCGGATTTGCCTGTCACTGTGGCCAGCCAAAGGACGCCTGCGCCTACAGAGAGACCATGGATGGCTTGCGCTGCACCACCCCAGCTCTAAACACATACTTCATATCCAGTGTAAACCCGAAGGAATAAGACCGGGAGGCATGTGGATGGAAGCCATGTTACATCAATGGAGCCGGTCCACGCTCCTTCACTGACAAAAACAAGCACGCTGTATTTGGGAAATTAAGCGCACACAAGGCGGTGGCTGGACCTTAGTTCGCTTCACACTGGATGGAACCACTCTTCGAGCCTAGGACGGCCACAGGGTCCGTGCACCCCGTCCCCTCCAGCAACGAATAACTGTCTCCTGGAGCCAGCATGGACGAGGTAGTGAACAATAGACAGGGAAGCACCTTGTCAACATGCACATCAAGCGCAGCCACACCGGGGATATCAAGCAACAGCCGATAACTTGAAACAACGGGATCATATAAAATAAATCGAATATAGTAAAAGAATATGACGACATAAATATTCGCTAAATGAGCATAGAGAGTAAATTGGTTTTCAACAAATCTGCGATAAGTATAAAATGTCCGAAAGTTACTTAAAAAATGCCACGTCATAAAGTTACGCAAGTATACCACAATTAGCATGACCGGTGTGCGCAAGTTAGTAGATTATCAGGTACGCAGAACAAACCAAATAAAGTGGAATGAATTTTATCCACAATAAAAAGACTTAGTTTAAGTGTAAGCATGTACACCTATCCGCATACATTTACCGTTAAGGCAATCATGTACTTTTTGTACATTTTTGATCACACTATGATAGCTCAACATGATCATGCCAGTAAAGGTGTGCCTTGCATTGTCGAGAATAAAAGTTTATTTATTTAGATCGATCAATTTATCGATTAAGACAGCTCACTTTCTGCGTCGCTCTGATTCGCTAATCTTTGTCGCGCTTCACTGGCCTATTCTGCTTCAACTTTCCATTTTATAATTGTAAACGCTTGATGAGACTTATCGAAAAGAGTACCCTTCGCAACCGTGTGTTTTAAAATTGAATTCACTATTCAATACCATACAAATTACAATTCCATTGGCTGAATGAGTACATATGTCAGACTGATCATGAATAAATTCAGAAATGCTGGCTTGCCGAACTACCTCCTTGTGGTGCCAGTTGGGTGGATCGGGATTATCCCGTTCTAGCGAAAGGTTCGGCGGCAGTGTTCCAGGAGGTGGTGGCTTTTCGCCTGGCAAGCATTCTCTGTAC